TTCCATTGTTTCCTGGATAAGTTTGAACATTTGATCCATTCTTGCATTTAGATCAGATATTGCCTTTTCCAAAAGATTAAATTTGCTTCTGAATTCTCGGTCATCGGCATTGTCGTTCGACCTGGACACTTGTGAACTGGGATTATTTGACTGGTTTACTTTGGGCCTAAAATTATCCGCATAAGAGAAGCCTCTCTGAACAGTGGCGTTTGAAATAAACTGCGCTCTAGAACCCTGAATGTCTGCATGGCTGTTATTGTTTGTCAGACCGTCCTTGGGCAATCTTGCCTCAGGCTTTAGCTTTCTGTTTAGCTTCACTCTGACTGTGCAGCCTTTAAAGCTGGAACTGTGGTTGTCTCCACAATTGGCACATATGGATGTCTCACTAGACTTAAGATGGCAAATCTCGGCGCCAGTAAAATGTTCACCTGAGCACTTACCACATACTGGGCTTTTAAGGCAATAATTTTTCGTGTGTCCGAAGTCTTGACATCTGTAGCACTGTACTATTTCCCTGTTGGGTTTTGCCTTTAATACTGTAACTCTGTGCGTTCCGATATGAGTTATTTTTAAGGCCTCTGCAACGTTTGGCGTCTTTTGTAAATTAACAAAGAACATGCTTTGTCTTGTTTTAGCATCTATCAATTGATCATCATCATCTTTATTGATCTCAATATTGCGCCAGTCTCGTTTCCTGGGACAGTAGATGTTCAGTACTGTGAGGTTCAGATCAGTAAAAGTACGTTCAATTCGCTGTTTTGAGACGTTGGGGTGTAAGTCTTTAATGACCACTCTATATGGTGCATTTTCTCTCAGTTGGTGATGCCAAAATTGACAATTTTGCTTGGATAATATGTCAACGACAGATCTAAATGCGTTTGAATTCTTTGTATAAATACGCGATATTCCAGTTCTAGATGTGCGTATATCATAGTCGGTGTCCGCGATTACAGAGTTTAATGCTGCCTCAAATTTGATCATATTATTAACCTGCGGCACGCAAATGGCTGGAGGCTTAGGTATTTTGTTTTCCTGTTCCTCTCTATCAGGTTGACGGTTGTTTTCATTTTCCCTGTCTTGAACTTCTTCGTCCATATCCATTAGTGATTCGGCTTCTTCAGCCAGAGCTGCAAAGCGATTGCTATAATTAGCTGCCGAGGAGGATGAAGCAGGGCTTTTGGTTAGACTCCCAAGATTTGAGCTAAGTTGGGCTGGCTTCATTTTGAGGATTGTTTTTGACAGTTTGTGTGCTTTTTTTTGCTTTTTCCAGATACCTAGCTTAGAAGATTGGAAAGTACAGTCCTTTTTTTGTGAAGGGCTAGCAGCCACATTTGCGCAATAAGATGCAGCGCTGGAAACAAGGGTAGTAGAGCATATGCTCCCAGTAGAATAGCTAGCAGTGCAGCTAACATTAGAAAAAGTTAGGGTGCTCGTCGTAATGGTGCTTGTGCTTGTAGCGACCAAACCCACTACATTTTTTGCCGCAAGAGTTTTATTCAATTGTTGTTCGGTCAGTAGGATGCGCAGCTCTGCAGGCGACGCACCAGCTAATTTCTTCATCATCTCAAACTTGTCCTGCTTGATATTAAGTTGTGGTTGATTCGATGAGTCTCCATCCATTATGGGCGACTGCCCAAGAGTATGCATCACTGATTGTTACCCTTCCTAGGACAACAACCAGCCGGCTCCACTTCCGTGGACACCAACCAGCGGTCAGCTGTTTTGACACGTGGACGCTGGCAGGCGGCCAGAGCCGAAATTACGAGTTTCACTTTAACAATTAATTTGCGAAGTGCTTTGTATTATTGTGTTCACCGTGTCTTTAAAAAGACACTGCAATAGTTATTTGCCACAAACGTGGCCTTGGTTCAGTTTTTATTTGACGATTTAACAAAAATCACAAGACGCTCTTTGGATTAGCTGTACGCTTGTCTGCAGTCGCGACGAGACTGTGATTTGTACTTTAAAGTTATATTTTTATTCTTTCTAATTTTCTCTCTTCATATTGACGTAGAGTCTCTTTCGTATTCGCATTTATTGGCATTCCACAGACCTTTGAATAAATATTTGTGAATCGTTGAAAGGGTATTTTATTAAATATAACTAGCTACACATGTGGTGTATCCTTTTTTGGTACACATTACCTAACTTTATATCTATTTCGCACTCTCTTTCTGATTTTATTTGGCGTTTGCGTGCTTAAGGTTCAGGTTCAGCTTTCAGTTTCTGTTTCAAGGTCATCGCCTTGACAACGTTTTGGGATATTTATGTGACTTTTTATATAGTGGACAGCGCCCGCGCACATTGGAAAAACAACATCAGGAGCAGCAGCAGGAGCAGCATAAGCATTAGCGTCAACCAAATGGAGCTGAACAAATTCATCTGGCATCTGTTAGGAATCAAACATTAAACGTCGGATCATTGTTGGCCAGGGAAGGCAAGGGAACGTGCAAAATTTGAAATACTTTCATTTGTCAAACTTCGACTTGGGCAGAAAAAAGTATGCAAATAAATCAGCTGTCGGTTGCCAGGATTATTAATGGTATATAGCAGAGAGCTTTTAGCCGATTTAGTCTGGCTGTAAAAGTCAATTCTTTTGTGCAAACAGGTGTTGGCCGTACAAGATTCGTCCATAATGCAAAGATGGAGCTCTGCTGTGCAAATTAAGCAGCCATTACAAAATCCAATATCTAATATTCCACGCATACTATCTAGAATTCACACAAATTTATTGACGGACGTGCCTCGATTGCCAAGCACACATAAAAATCAGTCGAGCGCGACACCACTGAGCACCACTCCCCTCACCACAGTTGACCTCCTACCAAGCATATGAAGTGTCAAAAGTTGTTCTTTGCCAAATTGAATTATACAGTGATGCTTTTTTAAAGACACATGATACAAATTTAAGCTGAAACGTGCAGCTGCGTCCACAGGGACACAGATTTGTTCAAGAACTCTTGCATCTTTGGCATTTACCCAGCACTCTCTGCTGCTCGTTCGGCCACTCTTGAGCCCAGCGGAAACCAGAAGTTGTAACTAAATCCTGTTGCAATCACAAGCAAACAACAGACATACTTGACAAGTGGGCTTAAATGCAGGCTGTCAGCCAGCTTGCAGCATCTGTTACATGAACCAGAGACTTTCGTAAGCAGAGACTTTGCTTCAATTTAGTAGAGAAGAATAAGCTGACTGGATGCCTGGCATATTGCAGATCGAATCACAGCCGAAACTCTGCTAAGTGCAATTCCAGCATTTAATTAATATAAACTTGAGCTAATTAGTATGAACTTTTATGTAAGCTTAAGTGACAATTTTTAAGACTTATGCCAAATACCCAGATAAACGCCGAAATAAGCTCTCCTCTCTATAGCGCCTCTCCTATAGAACATCAAAGGCAGCTGTGAATGCCTTGAAGTATCGAATCATTTACCATAAATAAGTAAAAGCTAATGCTGGGTGCCCAGCTTTAATCACCCCAAGTGCTGGAAATCAAATACAGACAATCCCCATCCTAAGCCCTGCAGATACAAATGCCAGACACCAGCTTTAATTGCGCATTAATGTTTATTGCGGAGCGGAAGTGGCGCCGTTCTCCCGCTCCCCGATTTCCCCAACATTTGCTTAGCTATGCCAACAAATCCGCTCGCTGTCTGTCCGAGTCGACCAGCGCTGGAAATACTCTTTGCCGGGGGAATGGTAAATATGTCACATTCTTAAGCTTCACAATAAACAATGGACACGTTCCTAGTATGGACACCCCTCTTATAGCTGCGTATTTGACTTGATTTTCCAGAGTAAACAAGACTTAAAGACAAAATGGATATTGTAGCAAGTGAACACGGACTGATAAATTTTAAACCTGAAATAAATAAAATTTTAATTATCTACTAAGAATATTATATTAAAGGCAACTGGAAAAAAATGCTGCACACCTGATATGCTTCACTTTTTATACCCTGCGCAGCCCAAGCGCAGTCGCTGCTTACTGTGCAGTTAGCAGAGCGCGTTCTAATACGTGCGTGTGTATGTATGTGCCTAAACGAAGTGTAGAGTGAGTAGAATATCAGATTGGACGGTTCAGGGTATCACCTAGTCGAGCAGTCTCGACTAGAGTTTTCTAACTTGTTTTTGTATAAATTCATTTTCAGGGATTCATTACCACATTTTCCCCTGAACGAATTTTTATTTAATTTGTCCATAAAACATTTCCGCTTTATTTAGTATTTAATGTGTATAATGTTTTAATTTATTTTGAATTCGATATAAATTGAAATATAATTGTGATTTAATTTACAAATTTTTGTCTATGCATAATTTTTGGTAATGTTTTGATGTTCATCTTATACAAATGAAAGGCTTTCCTCGTCGGCTACAAATACTACACCCTTTGAATTTGCCCTTCAGTCCTGATCCTAACTGGTAAGTTTGGAGTGATCATTGTCCAAATGGACAGATTTTAAATACACTTACACACTAAAAAAATCTCTGTTAGAGTATTAAAGAAACGATAAAAACCTAAGACATTGTTGGCGGACTGTTGTCCATTTGGTTTCATTAATTTTGTTGGTTCGTGCATTCGGTCCTCCAAATTTGTTTTGTATTTCTTGGTCTACTAAGCTCAAATACTTCCGCCTGCTTGCGCGCCATTGTGGCACAGAATTTATGGTGTAGTTGCCTGGCTGTTTCCGCCGCATTTTCCACATGCTTGCCGCAGGATAGAAGACAAGACAGTGCTTTAAGCCCAACGCCATTTTGCTGGATAGATTAATTGGGTTATGCTGCGACAACCTTTTGACCTTACGCTTTCCGCCCTCAGCAGCAGCAGCAAAGCGTGCCATCGGCTCAGCCCATGGGCTATTGATGAGGATTAGCGCTCATCAGCCCAGTCGAGTCTGTTGCCCATTGATAGGGTGTTGATGTGTTTAGACAGCGGATGGGCAAACTGTCCGCCACATTTGCCCGAGATAGCAGGCGCTCTGTTTTTCAGCCTGTCGGCCGACAGAGAGGCAACAAATATTGACGTTCAGTCAGTTTTTGTTTTGAAAATCAAAAAAAAAAAAAAAATTGTAAGTGGACTTTTTAAAAGCATATAATGGAGGCTAAAGGAAACACCGTGGTAGGTACAGGCATCAAACACTTAACTCGGGCTTACCCTAACCTTTGATTCAAGGAGAGAAGTGTCCTGTCGCGTATCAACATGTTTAACCAGCACGTGGAGGAGCACAAAAACTGGCAGCGCGTCAATCCCTTCTCACACTACAACGTGCGAGATGTACCCAAGCGCAGCATTCAAAAGGACCTGTACGGCACCCCACCCGCCGGCAGCCTCTCTGAGCGGCGAGCGGTGCAGGCACAGATCCTATCTCTCCAAGAGATCCTCCAGCTATGCGAGCTGATCAACGAAAACGGCGAGCGGCAGTCGGCGGACGAGGCCGCAGAGGTTAGCATAATGTTTGGCGTGCTCTTTGAGGTGGGTAGCTGTGGTAAAGGTTCCTCCATCAGTTCACCCGTCTGCTTTACAGATGTACGACCACATCTCTGACAAACTACTCGGTACGCTGCTGTGCGCGCGCAAGCACAAATACATTGACTTCGAGGGTGAGACACTATTTCAGGGTCGCGACGATAAGAAAGGCGTGCGTCTTTTGCGGCCTTTCGAGGAGCTCAGGGATGGCATTTTGAACAAAATCAAGAGTCTACGTTGCATTCTAGCTGAGCAGCCCGTGGAGCCTGTGGAGCCTGTGAAGCCTGTTGAGTCTGTTGAGCCTGTGGAGCAACCGTAGCTATGTAACAGGATGCCTTGTTCTTATATGTGGCACGTGGCACGAGGCACTTGGCTGTCATACAATCGCTGACCCGTGTCATTCGTGGGGCACATCGCACCACATCCCACACTTCGGGGCACGTGCGCCACTCTGCAAGCCTTTAAAAGTTAATTAAATTAAGATTTCGGCTGCCTGAAGCCCATTCAGTCCCAACCCTCCCAAGGCAATACCCGGCCTGATTGTCCGCCCGTACCAAATGGAGCCCTGCTGTGATCTGCGAAATACACCTGCCTCTCAAATTGTCACCTCGGATACACAGCTAATGTATCGAGAGCACACATTTTAGCCAACATTTATATGCAAATAAATATCTTTGAAAAGCCCTCGACGATTGTGACTCCGGCTGGAAATGAGTTCAAAGCAACGCCATGTGGCATGTGGCTAGGTTGTCAAAATATTGATATATGTACTGTGCGTACAACAATACATATAAATATCTATAGTATTTTAACCTAAATCATTTCGTTTGCTTTCGGTTATGATCCCGCGAGGCACAGTGGGCAATGTTTTCGGAACTCATTGGCTTTCAATTACAGCTTCATTAGCTCCCTATCAAAGTAAGCATGTTGAATCAATACATATTAATGGTTGATAGACAAGCTTTAAGTTCGTAGTCAATAAATGTTAGTAATAAATGTTTTGAAAAACAGTCAAGTGGTACATACATATATGTATATATTAATTGCTCATATCTACATTATTATTTGTTTATAGCATTGAAACAATAAAATTACAGGTGCCAGATCGCATATCATCGAATTTATAATGTGAAATTACAATGGTCACCCTAATGCACTATATACAGTGTGCCACTAAAGTCACCGTACTCTTGTTGTATTTGGGCGAATGACCCTGAAACTTGGCCAAATTTTTGTTAAATTAAAAAATGTTAATGCA